TGCAGCAGTAAACAGCCTGGTTTACGAGGGGATCCTCGAAATCAGCTGGTAAAGGCGATCTTCCAAGCGGCCCAGATGTATCCTTCAAAGCACGGACCGTGCTCAAGCAGTGACATGTCGAGGGCTTCTCAAACGTGTGTTTCGCCTGTTTCCCGTTAAACCAGCAGATAGAGAGGGTCATCTGGCTCTGGGTCAAAAAGTGTACAGTACCCAAAATGGAACCCTGGTAAATGGAAACATGGACTAAACCCTGCGGTCCCCTGGTGGTTTAATTTTGACCCATACCCATCTTGGGATGTCAATTTCATGGACCCAATCTATGGGAAAAGCTTCTCCCCGTACATTGGGAAGCCCAAGATTCGGCCGAAATGGCACATGCTGTCTGTTCTCAGGATATGTGCCGTTTCGCTTGATGGGTGCGAAGTGTTTTGTTGTTTTTCCCCCTTACGTAGATTGAAGCATCCTCACGCACACCTCTCGTGAGTTCTCCTGAGCGACAAAACGCATGAGATGGCAGGGTCAGTGGAAATCAACCTATGTTCCAAACGATCCAAGCTTAGATTCTAAAGACCAGCCATGTTGCCTCCCTTGACACAGAAAAAAGTGCAAATCCGCAGGTCAAGTGGATCAGAAGCCGCTCGACAGAAGCACAGTCATGCAGTTCCCCGCTGTCCTTGACGGGCTGTTGGCGTCCACATATCTGGCACGGGACTCGATACGCAGAGCCAACTGAAAACTGCGCTCCTTGGAGGCTACATGAGCCTCGGACACCCGGTTTCTTGTGGGGATTCTGGTGGGCACCATGCTCGTCCTCTCAACAGCTATAGACGACCAGTTGCACGAGCTTCTCATAAAAAAGAAAGGAACTCCCAAAGTGGCTGGCTGAATTTGTGGCTTGCGGTTGAAGCCAGTCAAAAGAGGGCGCTCTCGGACTGCCCCCGGGAACTTTGAGACGGATTCGGGCTCCCATGATACATCGTTCAAAAGGGGCTGCCATATAGTCATATAGTCCTTTTAGGGGAAATAGATGGCCATGGATGATTCAACCACCAGGTAAACCAGGGCCATCGATTCTTCCACCACCAAAAAGGACACCTATGAACAGATGGAGTCCGGTAAAATGAATATCGAGCCAAATTGGAAGTGGAACTCATCTTGAAAATGACCCAAGAGGACACCTATCTATCCAGGGCTTCAAATCCAAATCCACCAATCTGAACTAGCGCCATCATTTGTTTTTTTGTTTTTTCCAAAGTAAAACTATGTTCACAAACCGGAACTAAGGCATCTTCAAGGCACCGATGTTCAAATCTTTCTGAGCCCAGCACCCGATCGAAGCCTGGTTGCTCCTGGCGAACAGGCGAAGCATGAGCCAAAAAAAAGGACGCTTCGCATCAGCTGTCTTCGCAGCGACAAGTTGCCCAACTCCCAACGGGTTTTCTCGGTTGACGTTGGAAGGGGAGCAACAAACTAAGTTTTAGCAGTTGAGTGGGGATTTCAACCACTAAACCACAATAAGCAAAAACGTAAAAATGTTTCCCAACAACAACCATGTTTTTGCGGCCCATGAACCAAGAGCTGGACACGGATTCATTTTTCAGGCTTTGGGGTTGGAGGGCTTGGACAACTAGGGCCCCCTAAGGTGTCCCTCCAATGCGATCGGAAAAACACGGCCCCAAACCGTTCTGTTGTTTTTCTTGGGGGGGAAGTTCTTTGTCGGGCCAAAATTAAATCTAGGAGTTGGATGCTTCTCAAAGCCCAACGAGGCAGCGTTTGGAGCTCGTGTTTTTCGGGGACGGGATCTCGAAGCTGAGCAAAGCCAAACAACGGGGGGCCTTTTGGGTCCGACAGCCAGGGTCCAAACAAACGTGGCGCCGCCTTAAGAGGGCACCAGAAAGCACCCCCCTCGAGTTCATTGAATATGTGGCACGTGGGGATGCTAAGATCCGACTTCTGTTTTGTTCTCTGCGGTGTTGGCAATGTTGACCCGTGGGGGCCCCTACAACAGTGATGAACACCAAAAGGGGACGCCCCTCTTCATCAACCAGGAGCTTCTCAATCCACATTTAGCATATTAAATCTTTTGAGGCTAGCCACCCATGAACAAATCGATCGATCCCAGACTCCGAGGTTTCCCGCGGACACGACAGCAACACCCACTCCTCGCACTGTCAGCCTCACGGTGAGTTATGGGAAAAACGGCAAAGAACTTGCGCCGTGTGATTCATGAGTAACACCCTCTGAGTGGACTGGTCGGGACAAGTTTACTGGGTTGTCCGTTTCTGATCCCCTGCTAAATGTTAGGTTGCCAAGCGTTCTGTAGGTGTTTCCCCTTTTCGCCAAAACTGCGCGTCATGGCCTACATCAGTTTTGACCATGCAGAGCATGTTGTTGTTTGGTTTTCCCCAACAGCTGAAAGCTATGGGGGTCTTTGCCCAGATAGGCTCCGCGGGGGTCCGGGGCGGCTGATTCTCAGGAGGATTCCAGGGAGAGAGGGTTCCAGGGATCGGGCGGGAGGCGGAGGAAAACGGGGGATGCAACCGGACCGGGGCGCACCTCGTGCTGTTGGGATACCACATTTGTTTAAGCACTCTTCCGCAGGGGTAGTTTTGAGAGTGTCAGATTGACGGGCCTAGTTAGATCTCTTCTCTTACCTTGGCGGGCTGTTCTCATGAATGAGCGAGCCAACAGTAGGTGTGTTTCCTGTGTCCACTGGTCAAGTCAAACGCCGTACGGATTTTGTCACTCTGTCACACAAAGGAAGATTGGATTCTAGCGGGCCCGGGCACAGGATGTCACACACTGAACTGGGACCCAGCTCGAGCTAGCATCATCCTTTCACGGGCCGGGTCACCTGCATGCCTTTCTTCCAGTGAAGCTTTACACATTAAGTTTGCAAACATTCATCCTGTGTGACAGGTGGCTTCAAATTCTTCAAGGCCCTACAAAAATGGTTGAACTTGGTGGTTCCCAGCCGTCCCCGTAGCTTTTTTGGCTTTTAGGGTTTAGTCGTAGTTTCCATTTAACCCACGACGGGTCCCACTTCCGTTTTTGGAACGAACCCGAGCGACTGGGCTCCCGCACAATCACCGGCCTCAAAACCCGTGCTGTCCAAAAGGCCGGATGGCAGGGAAATGAATGGCTGGGAATGGGAAATGAGATATCAATGGCTGGTTGGGCTTCGAATCGATTTATTCCCAGGCTTCCCTTCGATGAAACGCATGGCTTCTGGGCCGTTCCTGACAGGGAAGGACCTTGCGGCGTGCCTTCCGTTTGTTTTCCATTCTTTTTAGCCGCAAACCTTTCGACCAAAACCGTTCGCCACAAGTTGGTAAACCGGTTGGTCCTTGACAAAAGGCAAGCACGCAAATTATCTTAGACGTGGAAGCTAAAAAACAAACCAGGCATAATTATTGTCCGTCACTCCCGTGAAAAATAAATAAATAAATAATCTACCTTTGTGCTTGCCCGACATGGGCATTCGCGTTCCCTTTGGTCCGATTCAACAACCCGCAAAATCAGCTTCCCTCTGATTGGTGGTTTGGATAAGTAATTTAGAGGTTTCAGGGGCGGTTTCCCATTTGCCGTCTACAAGAACCAGAACGGAAAGCGTAAGTATCAAAAAGAAAACAGGACTTGTCTAAGGGTCGATTTCCAATCTTCACTTCACCGGTGGTTCTCTTCAACAAGTTTTGGGGGCCCTCTCATCTTTGCTGCTAAACAACCTCATGATTTCCCAAAAAGTTAAAGTCTAAAGATCCAACACAATAGCAGTCAAGTCATCAAATGGTCACATGCTGACTTGGTTCTGATGCTCTCATGGTGTCGATTTCCATTCACCCATGTGTACACGGAAAATATATGCAGACTTTGGAATGTGAACTTGAGGATCCCCTTTCAGAAAATCCGAAACCATACATGCGGAGAACATGCCTTTCTGCTCGGAATTCGCATTGGATCCGTTCCAGGGTTTTTACAAGCGCTGATCAGTCTTTCTGCTTATTTCTCTCTCTCTCTCTCTGGGTTTTGGCTTTCTTCCGGAAAGCAAATATCTGAAAAGAAGAAAAGAAAGGGACAAGTACGCGTGGAGGTTAGCCTTAGGCAAGTGAGTAAAACAAGATATTAAATTCCCCACGAATCTTGACAATGATGATCCCTGATGAATACCTCCCTCCCCCGGGTTCTCAACCAAAAAAATAAGTAAACAAATATAGAAAAACATGTTGAAGTTTTGTGGAGATTTCTCCCCAGGACGCCCCCCGTGGTCCGGACTCCAAGTCGAAATCATCCGAACGGTACGCTGGCTCTGAAACCACCGGCGATTTGGCAACGTCCGGATCAGCGGCCCCGTGACCCAAGAAACGAAGGGTACCCTCCCTCCCACGTTGCCATGGCAACTGAGAGGGGGTCCCTTCAAAGGGAAATTGATCTTCCAGGTGCCTCCCCACAGGTGCCATGTTGGTTGGAGGAAGGCTAACCTTTTAGGGCCATGACTCAATATGGACCAAAAGGGGGAACAGATCCGGTCGCGAGTCGAATGGATTTGAGGATCAACTCGGGACAAATGGAAGTCTCATTTCCAACCCCGCGCTCATATCCTTCAGGCAATAGAAAGATTTTGCATATTGCCGTCGGGAGAAGAGCTTGGAATCCTATGATTGAAGGGGGGCCCAACACAAACAGGTGGCCATGGTTCAAAACCAATGGGATCCCATTTTGGGTTAGGTGAATTCACCACCCATTTTAGAACCTATTTTAGTGGGGATTGGGATGTTTATCTCTAAAGTTTTTTACTTGGGCCCTTGTTATGGGCCGCTAATGGCTGAAAAATACATACACTATATATACCCCTTATGTATTGGGTACGTAGCACAAGGACCAGGTGGCTGGATGTGTGCGTTTCTCAGCTGCTGCCTCTGGAGTAGCAATCTTTGACGACAGCAATCTTGAAAGGTTCCAACTCCATTGGGACTCTTCGTGCCAAGCCCCCAAACCCCGGTCCCAAAAATAGGGGGGCCCATTCAGGAAACCCACTGGCACAGACAGTTTCCTGAATGGGCCCCTATTTTGGGAACTCAGATGTTTGGGTCCTTGGTTGCCCTTTTGCTGAAATCAAACTTGCAGATTTGCGTTCCTTGGAACTATCGTCTCTCTGGCCAGCAAACCACAAAAATAATGGCCCATAACAGTGGCCCATGTAAAATTCTTTAGATTATCGGGGGTACGGGGTTTTGACCCATGGCCATATGACACCACAACTTCAATTTGCATTTTCGGGGCAGATGTCCACTTCCGTTTAAAACCAACTGTAGACATGAACAATGACGCATCAAGTGGGTCTATTATATCTTAAACGAGCTTTCTTTTCCGCTAATGGTTGCAAATATATTCAAACTATGAAATCAACATGGCATATCTTCAAATGATCTTCAAATTATGAACTATCTTCAAATTATCTCCAAACTATGGAATATCTTCAAATTATCTTTTCGGCAAATGGTTGCAAATATCTTCCACTTATGAAAATCAACAAGTCTTCACATGAAAACCAAACGAAACGCGGAGACGAAGACACAGGCACCAAATCATAGAGCCTTGGTCAACAGTGCCGGGCACTGGAGAGATTTGTGGGTTCTCAAAATCGCAGCCTCCCTTTGTGGGCGGGGAAGCCAAAAGGAAACCACGCGTTGGCGTGTTTTAAGAAGCACCCATGCGATCTTGGTTGAAGTTGGTTCACTTTGCCCTTGGTCTGCAAAAGCTCACTGGCAACACAAAGGTTGTCAATTGTGTAAGCCGGAGGTCGCTTTGGTCTCAGAGGTGTCGAAAGCAACCACAAGGCTGGGTCCATAAAAGTGACTCAACTCTAGAAGTGTTTCTCCCACATGGGTTGGGTGTGGGGTCCTTTTGAGGGTATCTTGTTTGGTTGGCTTACTTGCCCTGTTTTGGGGTCAACAAAAAAGGACCCACACAAGTTTGCAGAACACCCCCTCGACCATGACTGAATCTGGGAGACACATACGTGACCTGAAAAGTGCTGACAAATGTATGCATGAGACAGAGCGGGAATTCTTCGGGTAATTCAGCACTCAGTCAGCCAAACCAGTTTGGTGCCAAACTTGGCTCGCAAAGAGGCTCACACACTTCCGGGTCCTTTCGGTGTTCTGATGCCCACCGGGCGCCAGGCTCTGTTGGGAAGGCCTGAGCCGTGCCACATATGGGGGTAACGGAAAAAAAAGAAGGAACAAGTTAAACAACTTGCAAGTTGCCGCAAATTGCCTGGGCTTTGTGGCTGGACGTTGTTGATTGGCTGTCGAAAAATAGAGGGGTGAGCCTCCAAGCAATGGGAGAAGGAGTCGCCCGCTGCCGTCAAACTTCTCAGCTTGAAGCTGGGACATGTCCAACAAGTAATGCACCAAACGTGAAAGTGCACGGTCCCCTTGTGACGAACCCACTGTTATTGTTCAACTACAGCCGCTTTGGGTACTGACCCAGGATTAAGAAACCCGTCCCAGTAGGGGGGTGTTCCCTCCAAAAGTGGTCTGAATCCCCAACTGAAAGGGGACACCCCCTTATTAATCAACTAGGGGTTTATTAATCCGGGGTTAACATTAGGCTGTGCACTTCATGTTTGGAAGACTCATGATGACTGGGAGCTTCAGCTTGCTTTGTTTTGGGACAGCGCTTTGCGGCCGAGCCTCACGAAACTGGCGAATTTGAGCCCCCGGCACAGAGTCACATTCATTTATGGGACACTTCGAACCAGCAAGTTTGACAAAACCTTTGGGGGATACAACTTTTGATTAATCCCCCCTTCCTCGCCTTCCTTCCCCTCTTCCGGCATCCTATTTGTGCAACCTTCTAGGGGCAACTTCCCTATTCTTTCCAGGGATCCTTCTTTCTAGACAACCATCAGAACCCCAAGGGAAACAGCTGGGTTTTGAAAACGCAGGTTGAAAAGAATGGGGAATGAACCCCTAGAATTCACTCGGTGCCGATTATGTCAAAAGGGGGTTTCGCCAACAAAAGTCACATTTTTGCTAGGCTGCTATGTTTTGCAACCAAACACATCCATCACAAATAAGTATGGACCGGCGGGAAACAAGCCCCCTTGAGGTTCCTAGGCGAAATCAACAATGGGTTATGAGGCAGCGAAGTGCTGAGCAAGTGAGTGAGGTGATTGGGGCTTATCATTGGCAAAGCACAAGCATGGCCAGTGGATGCCCATAACTCCCATCACTGCGAGGTATGAGAACTAGTGGCTTACTTACCCTCCACAAATTGATCGTGAGTCAGCCATCATATGACATGTGAAATGTCACCCTCAAGATTGCGCTTGCTTGCGCAAGCGCAGGCGCCATCTAAGTATTCCCCCACAAAAAGCAAAGCCCAGCTCCAAGCAAACACATCTGCCGTAACCCTCAAGGAGCTCAGGGCGAGAGGCTCGGGTGTCCGTTTGGAGTCCTTGTCCCAAGGCAAGGGGGCGGACTCCCGCGCCAGATC